AAGGTCAAGGACCACAACCTTCAATATGAATTGAAGCTTAATATCAAGACAAAGATTCTCACCACTAGGCCAACTGGCAGCACCATAATGGATGAAAAGTGATTGAGGTTGTTAACAATTACAGTTTGCTTGGCTCCACAATCAACACTCTTACACCAACAGTTGGGAAATAGAAAGACAAATTGAATTAGGAAAAGTGTGCTCTCAAGGACCTCTCCAGAATACTTAAAAGCAACAATATCAGTCTGGAGACTAAGGTGTGCCTGATCCAAGTCATAGTCTTCACAATTACTTGCTATGCATCAGAGAATTGGACAATGACTAGTAATGATAGAAGGAATTGATGCCTTTGTGCTGTGATGCTGGTGAAGAATACTGAATATACTACGGACTGCTAAAAGAACAAACAGGTTCGTCCTATAGGGTGTGAAACCAGACTGCTCCTTGGAGGCAAGGATTCTGAAGCTCTGTCTGACATACTTTGAATGTCTTGCAAGGTGGGATCAGTCCTTGGAGAGGGACATCATTCTTTGGAGTGTGGAGGGACAGCACAAGAGAGGGAGACCCTCAGTGGGATGGATTGATTCAGTCACCAGGTGATAGGGCTAGGTGTGTCAGGATAGAGCAGAGTTCAGAGCTGTTGTACACAGGGTCGCTATGAGTCACAAGTGTCTCGACAGCACATAACAACACATCAACAATAATCTGTATCCACATAAGCCTTGCTTCTAACACACTGCAGGGTGAAACATTAAGGTAACTGATGAGCTGAAACCACTTGCATTACCCAGAAACTTGACCCGTTCAAATGGCAAGAAGGAGCTCAAGTGACGCAGAAACCCAGAGAACACAGAGACCCTTTGATGGATTCAAACACTAGCTGGTCTAAATACAGTGTCACTGGTCTGTCTGTGCTCTGGGTCAGACTGCAGGTGCTCTCAGCTTAAGGGCGAACTGCTTTTATTCAAAACTCAGATATTCTTAGCAGCAAGTAAGAAACAGGGTCCTGGGAGGTTCAAGTGGGTCTGGTTGCAAGGAAGTTAGTATCTGCTTTGCTAGGGAGGCAAGAGTGAGAACACAGTGGAGTCTGCTTTGCATGCCCACCTCCCAGCACCCCAAGGCAGAAAGGACAGTTCATGACGAAGCCAGCTGATGGTCAGTCATATCCAATGTGCACGAGATCAAGACTAAATCCATTGATGAGGAACACTTTTTATTTCCCATCTGAA